AAAATAATAAATTTATAATCTTACGTGATATTATAATTATAAAATTATAAAAAAATATAAAAACATCATTTCATTTTGACATTATCACCCTTGTAGAATGAATTGATTGAATTAACCACACTAATGGAACATTAGTATAGGATTACATATTCCTAGACATAGTCAATTTGATTTATTATAATTTTACAAGTAATAAGTCAGTAACTACTCCTACTTAATAATGTTGATTTATTCAAAATGAAAATGATGATAATGATTTGTTTAGATGATATATGGCAAACAATTAATCATGGATTAGAATAATAAAACAATATTAGTTAGTGCAAAATAGTGTCAACGAGGAAAAGAAAGAAGAAAAAAGCAAGCACCTACAAATAGGGGCCCATGGATGTCTCCTCACTTAGACTAAACGAAAACAAAGCGAGATGTGATTTTCATCTTTTCTCTCTACTCTTCCTTTCACCTGCTCTCTTATCATTTCTTGCCAAAAATACCCAAGAATTTCCTCCCCAATCATGTCAGCTCATGATTTGCCTAAAGATTCTGCCGAAGCCTCTTCCTCCGCCTCCGTTAACCACCGTCCTCAGCCGCAGTTGAGCCGCTACGAGTCCCAGAAACGCCGTGACTGGAACACTTTTGGACAGTACTTGAAGAACCAGAGACCACCGGTGTTACTCTCCCAGTGTAACTGCAACCATGTGCTGGACTTTCTTAGGTACCTGGATCAGTTTGGGAAGACTAAGGTTCATCTGCAAGGGTGTGTGTTTTTCGGACAACCTGACCCGCCTGCTTCCTGTACTTGTCCGTTAAGGCAAGCTTGGGGGAGTCTGGATGCACTGATCGGAAGGCTGCGAGCAGCCTATGAGGAGCATGGAGGGTCCCCGGAGACAAACCCTTTTGGAAATGGAGCGATTCGGCTTTTTTTGCGGGAAGTGAGGGATTGTCAGGCTAAGGCAAGAGGGATTCCGTATAAGAAGAAAAAGAAGAAGAAGATCCAAACCAAGCCCAAGGAGGAAGCAAAGACATCGAATCAGAACTCTTAAATGCACTCTCTTCTTCAAAAAATTGGTAAACCCTAAACCTATTATGTTCATTACTGTATATATGTTTCCATTTTTAGGTTGAAGATTTGGAGTTCAACTTCATGTAGAAAAGAAATTATAAAAGAACCCACATAATTAAATAAGTTCCATCAAGATTGTCTAATCGATCACGATCGTGATATATTGTTATGAAAGGATTTCATATATCACGTGACTATAATAAACCCTAGCTCAGATTGCAAAACCCTAATTCTGTATGTAAGTCTTGCTTGGAGTAAAGAGTGGAGTAGTAAAATTAGGAGGACAATTTACTGTGGATGATTGAGGGTGGGAGAAGAGTCTCTCTCATGTCATGCAAAAACAGTAGTCTGGTTTTGTAGTTTTTCTGAATTAAAATATATGGGGATTTGTCTACTTTTCCATTGTGTTTGGCTCTTTTTATGATTCTGTGCAGATTTTGTGCTCCCCATCAATGGTCATGTGATATACCATACGTTTGCATGTGAAATTTTTATATAATTTTGGATTTAATTATACCTTCTACGTGGAAATTTAAGCTAATTAATGAACACAGATACATTTTAATCCTAGGAAGGTAAATTATGTCCTAATTCATAAATCATACAATGGTGGGACTTGATTATAAAATATTTGTCCTTTTTTCTTAGACAATTGTTAATTTGATGGTTTGGTTTTAATAATTATTAATCTTATTGGATAGGCCCTAGCTAGGCCCCTAGCTAGCACCTTTTTTGGGTTAATTATCTTTTCTTCTCTCTAATTTCTTAAGTTCTACTTTTAGTCCTCATTTTTTTTTATCTTTTTGAGGTGCAATCTTTTCGTTCTCATATAAGTTTTGGTTTATGGATTATTAACCCGAGACTTCCCATTTGGGTGATGTGTCCAATTCACACCCATTAATTCTTGAGGTTTTTTGGATTGTGAATTGTTGTTTCTTATCGCGACAAACTTCTTTTTTTTTTTTTTCCCCCATTTTTATGATTGAAGGGCATCACTTTCTGATTTGGGTACCTGTGTCCAATTCACACCCATTCTTGAGGTTTTTTGGATTGTACGTGAACTGTTTCTATCCTCACAAACTTCAATTTTGTTTTCTTTCCATTTTATGATTGAATGGCATCACTTGCCAGTATTTCTTTCAATTGGTCAATTAATTGCTACATCTATGTAGCCACAGTAGAGTCTCAA